CCTCCTCCTCCTCCTCCTCCTCCTCCTCCTCCTCCTCCTCCTCCTCCACCTCCTCCTCTCTATAAACCCCACTTTCTTCTAGCCCTGATGATGTTACCTAGTTGGGTCATGAAACATCCGTAAGGAAACAACCAACCTCCAAGAGCTCCAAGGACTCCACTGTAGTAGTCGTCCTCCTCTTCCTCCTCCTCCTCCTCCTCCATCATTCCACACACACCTCTCCTTTCTAGCACTTTGATGATCCTTCTCCGTTTTCTTTTTTTCCTCCTTCAAAAACCATTGTTAAACTAGAAGAAGACGATGGAGCCGAACCGGCTGAATTCCAAATTTCCGGAAAGATTGGAGCAAAGAAACAGCGGAAGTTAGAGGAGAAGCAGGCAAGGAAAGTTCAGAGAGAGGTGAGTCTCCCCCTGCATTTTATAAATCAGCATTCTTTGATTGGATCGTTCCCCTTAGGGATCCTGGGCGTTGTAGTCGTAGTAAACTCAGAAGGGACCGAGTTAAGAGAACGCATCCTGGCGTAAAGAGAAGGGAACACAATTCCCAGGCGTAGGGAAACGGAACCATTATTTGTATTTTTGTTTTAAGTCACTGCGGTGACCTGGGGCATGACCCAAAAATAACAACATCACAAAAATAGAATAAATTCCCTTTAATGCCTCCAACTTGGCCCCCAATGTCCATTTATCCTCGGCTGGAGATCAAACTCTTCCAAAAACAGTCTACGAAGGGCAGAAATGCAGTCCGAACCCAAAGTAAAGATAATTAGAATTTTTAAAAACCCAACACAAACCACGCTGAAGTCATTAACACGGCAGGCCAGGATGATAAATTGCAGACTTCCACAAGATAACGCAGCACCCACAGTTGGGAGGACGCCAAAACCCAGAAAAGGCTCGACCAAGATAATGCACGCTTTGCTTCCAGCAAGGAGCTGTGTGCAAACGCCCCACTTATATCCTGTTCTCCCAGCTGCAGATAATGAAGGGAATCAGGGCCTTTTCCTCTCCCATAAGCCACGTTGCTCCCTTCTCCGTTCCTCCCTGCGTGCCCTAGGATGAAGAGGGCGGGTGGCCCTGGGTCTTCCTCTGAATGCCCAGCCGGACTGGGCCTTTCCCCAGTTTCTTCCACAGCCACCAGAGCCTCACTCCCACTCCCTGTCAGATGCCCAATCTGCCCCTCAGAATCAGACTCCATGACAGTCACAAATTAAAATGTGGTTGTTGGTAGACAGAAGAACTTCTCTTTCTAACAAGCCCTGGGAATTTTTAAGCGCAGGTCGTTTTCATTCTACGACTACCATGGAGCCCCCAGATTTCTGTCGCTAAGTGAGGCATTTGTTAAGCGAGCCTTAACAAACCCATTTTACGACCTTCCTTGCCACACTCGTGAAGTGAATTGTGGCAGTTGATAAGTTACTAACGTGGTTGTTAAGTGAAACTTTGCTTGTCAAAGGGGATCACATGACCACCCCCACCACCACCCCCCAGGACGCTGCAATGGTCATAAATATGAACCGGTTGTGAAGTGTCAGAATTTTGATCACGTCTCTACGGCGTTGCTGCATCGGTCGTAAGTGGAAGTTCCCCCCCCCTTTTTTTTCTCTTAGCGCCTCGAAGTTCAGTAACTTTGAATTGTCACTAAACAAACTGTTGTAGGACCAGTACAGTGTTTCTCTTAACAACAGTGGCAAAAATACCATAAAATGGCGCAAAAAGTGACTTAACTGTCTTGCTCAGCAGCAGAAACATCGGGCTTAATTGTAGTCGTAAAGTGAGGACTATCCATGCAGATCTCAGGCGCAGCGGCGTTTCCTTGTTGTAATATGTATGTATGTATATTTGCTTCTGTGTCAAGATGGGGGGGGTGTGTGGAAACATTTTTAAAATCGTCTGAGGGACGTGCTTCAGGAAGGAGGGAGTTTTCCACAACAGATAACAGATCATCAGAGTTGGAAGGGACCTTGTAGGTCATCTAGTCCAACCCCCCACCCAAGCAGGAGACCCTGTACCATTTCTGACAGAGGGCAGTCCAGTCTCTTCTTCAAAGCCACCAGTGATGATGAAGCTCCCACAACTTCCAGAGGCAACTTCTGTTCCATTGGCTGATCTCCCTGTCAGAAAGTTTCTCCTTATTTCCAGGTTGAATCTCTCCTTGTTCAGTTTCCATCCATTGTTCTTTGTCTGGCCTTCGGGGGCTTTAGAAAAATAGCTTGACCCCCCTCCTCCTCCCTGTGGCAGCCCCTCAAGTATTGGAAGACCGCTATCCTGTCTCCCCTGGTCCTTTTGTCCATTAAAATCAGATTAAAGTCAGATTAATAGAGTTGGAAGGGACCTTGTAGGTCATCTAGTCCAACCCCCCACCCTCAAATATTGGAAGACCGCTATCCTGTCTCCCCTGGTCCTTCTCTTCCCTAGACCATCCAGGCCCAGTTCCTGCAACCGTTCATTGTATGTTTTAGCCTCCAGTCATCCCCTCATCCTCCTGGTTGCTCTTCTCTGCTCTTTTTCCGGAGTTCTCAGCCTCTTTTTTATAATGTGGTGACCAAAACTGGATGCAGGTGTGGCCTTACTAAGGCTTTATAGGGCGGTGTTAGTGCCCCACCCACACAAACAAACACACTCTTACTTTTCTCCCCCTTCTCCGTGTCCAAAGGCTGAAGAGGCTGAACGGGAAGAAAGAAAGAAAGTGGAACAAAAACGGGACGAAGAACGGCGTTTGGAAGAAGAACGGCTGCGGCAGGAGGAGGAGAGGAAGGTGAGGTGTGAGAGATGAACCAAGTTGGGATGCCCAAAATGGACCGAAACCAGGATGGATTTCTCTTCCCCTAGAAGAGGTTATCTGTAGCTCAGGGTTGGAGTCTCTCTGAGCTGGGAACTTTTCCTGCAGACATTTCATCACCCAACTAAGTAACGCAATCAGGGCTAGCGAGGGTGGGTTTTCCTTCCCATTTGTATAAGTTGTTCGTCCTGCCAGTGTTGGTGGAGGTGTGGTTTTTGTCTTTGGGAGTTCCTTGATTAATTTGGTCTAAGGGTCAAGGTAACAGGTTAGAAAGTGGGAGATGGTGAGTTCTAGTCCTGCCTTAGGAATGATAGACAGCTGGGTGATTTTGGGCCAATCACCAGGAGACGGTGAGTTCTAGTCCCGCCTTAGGAATGATAGACAGCTGGGTGACTTTGGGCCAATCACCAGGAGACTGTAAGTTCTAGTCCTGCCTTAGGAATGATAGACAGCTGGGTGACTTTGGGCCAATCACCAGGAGATTGTGAGTTCTAGTCCCGCCTTAGGAATGATAGACAGCTGGGTGACTTTGGGCCAATCACCAGGAGACTGTGAATTTTAGTCCTGCCTTAGGAATGATAGACAGCTGGGTGAATGATTTTGATCCAATTACCAGGAGACGGTGAGTTCTAGTCCTGCCTTAGGCATGAAAGCCAGCGGGGTGATTTTGGGCCAGTCACTTTTTTTCAGCCCAGGCCAACTCACAGGGTTGTTCTTGTGGGGAAAATAGGAGGAATTTGGTAGAAGGGAAGGGCTGTCTTTAATTGATGCAAAATTAATGTTGATCACTTTTTTCTGGGTATTTAGCCTCTCTCCCTCCCTCCCTCCTTTCTTAGCGTGTCTCTCACTCTGTGCACCTGAGCATAGGGACACTCTCGCCTTTTCACGGAGCTGCTTTGAGAAACTCTTTTAACAACCTGGAAGTTGGTTAAGAATCCTGCCACTCAATGAAGCAATACAACGGCCATTGATAAACAGTGGGCAGAATGGGAAAAAAAATCCTGGTGTAGTTGGCTTTAAAGGTCTGGCCTTATAGTAGCTGAGTATCTTGGGAATTGGAGTCCAACCTTGGGTTGGGAAAGGCTAACCCAACAGCCCTTTTATATATAGGAGAAGCATAAACTCACCCGAGCCTCCCTCCCTCCGCGCAGGAGGAAGAGCTGAAGAAGGCCAAGGAGGAAGAGGAGAGGCGGGAGTACGAGGAATACCTGAAGCTGAAGCAGGGCTTTGTGGTGGAAGAAGAAGGGATGGATGAAGCCATGACGGAGGAGCAGGTACGTTGGGTCGGCTGGTTTGGAGAGGGCAGGTACGAGGCGGAAGAGTAGAAGATAAGAATGGTGTGATGGGATTAGTTGTTTTTAAGAGAAGGAAGAGCTCAGCTATATGATAGGGAGGGAGGGAGGGAGGGAGGGAGGGAGGGAGGGAGGAAGGAAGGAAGGAAGGAAGGAAGGAAAGGAGAAGATGAAAGAAGGGAGGGAGGAGAGAGAATGGGAGAGGATGGAAGGAAGGAGGGAAAAGAAGGGAACGTCAGGAAGGAGAAGAGAAAGGGAAGGAGTGATGGCTGAAGAAGGAGGGAGGGAGGAGAGAAAGGGAGAGGATGGAAGAAAGGGAAGGAAGGAGGGAAGGAAAGAGAAGGTCAGAGGAAGAAAAGACAAAAGAAGGAAAAGGGAGGGAAGGAGGAAGTATGGGTAGAGAAGGAGGGAAGGAAGGAGAGAAAGGGAGGGGATGGAAGAAAGGGAAGGAAAGAGGAAGAAATACAGGAAAAAGGAAGGAAGTGGAAGGAAGGAAGAGTGGGTAGAGAAGGAGGGAAGGAAGGAGAGAAAGGGAGAGAAGAGAAGGGAATGTTGGGAAGGGAAGAAGGGGAGAGAGAGATAGGGATGAAAGAACAAAGAAGAGAGGGATGATTGGAGAAGAATCATTGCATAAATACTGTCTTTACATTTATGATTTTAACTAAAATCTGCCCTTAAGCCTGACCCTCAGACAAACTAGAATAGGAGGTAAAAGGACAAAATAAGACAGAACTGCAGGAAAACCTTCTAAGGCACTGCTTCTGAACTGCCCCTTTCTGATTTACTGCGCCTTATAGAATAGAATAGAATAGAATAGAATAGAATAGAATAGAATAGAATAGAATAGAATAGAATAGAATAGAAATACAGAATAGAATAGAAATACAGAAATAGAATGGAATGGAATGGAATGGAATGGAATAGAATAGAATAGAATAGAATAGAATAGAATAGAATAGAATAGAATAGAATAGAATAGAATAGAATAGAATAGAATTCTTTATTGGCCAAGTGTGATTGGACACACAAGGAATTTGTCTTGGTGCAAATGGTCACAGTGTACATGAAGAAAAAATAAAGTACATTCATTAAGAATCATAAGATACAATACTCAGTGATAGTCATAGTTACTAATAAGCAATCAAATCATACTAGGAAACAGTCCATATAAATCGTAAGGATACAAGCGACAAAGTTACAGTCCTATAGTCACAAGTGGGAGGGGATGGGTGATAAGGAGTGATGAGAAGATTAACAGTAATAGTAGTGCAGACTTTCTAAATAGTTGGACAGTGTTGAGGGAATTATTTCTTTAGCAGAGTGATGGCTTTCGGGGGGAAAACTCTCGCGTGTCTAGTTGTTCTGGTGTGCAGGGCTCTATAGTGTCATTTTGAGGGAAGGAGTTGAAACAGTTTATGTCCAGGATGTGAGGGGTCTGTAAATATTTTCACAGCCCTCTTTTGGACTCGTGCAGTGTACATACAGGTCCTCCATGGAAGGCAGGTTGGTAGTAATTGCTTTTTTCCACAGTCCTAATTCCTCTCTGGAGTCTGTGTCTGTCTTCTTGGGTTGCAGAACCAAACCGGACAGTGATAGAGGTGCAGATGACAGACTCAGTCATTCCTCTGTAGAACCGGATCAGCAGCTCCTTGGGCAGTCTGAGCATTTTTTCCCCCGCAAGTCCATAGATCCGTCGGCTGAGCCTTTCTTCGTGGGGTCATTTATCATTTATATGCAAAATTAGCCATCAAACAAGAGATTAGTTGCAGCCGGGAAGGACAGCTTCCAAATCTTCAAAAGGCCAGAAGACGTAATTGTGTCACATCAAAAACTCCGCCGTAACAGGCCTGTGCAGCAAATTTAATTTCCCTGCCTGGAATGTACTCAGATGATTTCTAGTAATTAGCTATTATTTATTGGCATTCTGAATATGTATTTAGATTCCTGCCCAGGCGTAAAAATGTATTATTTACCCAGGAACCAACAGGCCACCACAATCAGCATTCGGGGTTTTTTGGTTTTTTTTCAGCCCTGGGCAAGAAACTGCTTCTTAAAATGCATCTACAAGCAGTCCTCGGCTTAACGACCGCCATCGAAGCCCCAAATATTCTGTTGTTAAGTGAGCGTTGGCCCATTTTGCAGCCTTTCTCGCCCCGGTTGGTAAGCGAATCGCTGCAAGGCATAAAGTGAGTAAGCCGGGTCGTTAAGCCAGAGGGGAAATCACACGACCTTGGGATGCAGCAACTGTCATAAGTATGAACCCCTGGCCAAGCCTCTGGATTTTTATTCACGTGATCGTGGGGCTCTTCACCAAAGTCGTGTGGAAAAAGTATGAAAAAGTCACTTTTTTCCATTGTAACTTTGAACGGTCACTAAATGAAACTGTTGTAAGTCAAGGACTACCTTGTACTTCCTTCTCTGGTGAATTAATTATTGTTCTTCCTCTTGTTGTGTCCAGTCCCGCAGTTTCGTCACAGAGCTGCTCAATTACATTAAGGTAAGTTCCTCTTCCGTACTTGACGTCTTTCCGCGTCTCTACCCAGTTCTTTCCTACTTCCTGGCCTTTGCTATACTTCAAGCAATGGCTCACTTAGGAGTAAAATACTATCACCTCCTCTTTGGTGCCAATCAGGTCTCTCTCTGGGGTCTTTAGTGCCCTCTGAGCTGGGTGGCTTTCTTGGCAGACGTTTCATCACCCTACTAGATAATGTCATCAGGGCAATATCATTGGTACAGATGGCGTTCACCTACTTGATTGTCTCTCTCTCTCTCTTTTTTTAAAAAAATTATTTATTTTCAAAATACACATAAAATTTACATTTTAACAGTTCTGTGTCAAGTGTTACTTCTATACTTAAATACAATATTTACAATTCTTCCCTCATATCAAACCTTATTTCTTTTATCTAACCATATATATATATATATGTATGTATGTATGTATGTATGTATGTATGTATGTATGTATGTATGGCCTTCAGCTTTGTTCGGGTATTTTCCCACGTCATAGTAGTGGTGCTTTTAA